CATCCCTACAAATCACCCCCCCCCCCCCCCCCCCCTCCTAGGCCCCATAGTCGCTGCCCACTGGGTCACCCGGACCCCCTTATCTGGGGGTTCTTTTTGTGTTGTCTTTTCTTTCTTAATTGAGTCTTGTTTATAACCCTGTTGATTTTAAGTAATAAAATTTCTCTCTTCCTATCATATTTGGGTTAACTCTATTAACATTTTGTGGATGGACGCCTTCTAATCACTTCGGCCATCGAAGTTATTTGTGCTCATTCCGTATACTATTGTATTTGTCAACCTTCATCCTTGATGCTTCTACTTAATTCAACTAATGGAGCATTAAGAGACATCAACAAAATCTTCACACAATTCATTTTCTCTTCCATTTCACCGTTTATGGTCCTCCGTCTCTTGCTTATTCTTAGGCTCGTCTTTCCTTTTCATCTTCAAGCTTAATCACCCTAGAATTCAATAATCCTGCATTTTTTTAAGTTTTATTGAGCTTTGTATATTCAATTCTCGATGCTGTTTTATGATCATCTCATGCCAACTTGTCATCATAAAAACTTGTCCGTCTTTAGCTTTTGAAGTATTAGGATCTTTCTCTCAAAATTTAGGAACCCTCTTTCAAATAAACATAACCTTTGAGGTAATATGCTCGCCTTGGCACCAATTAATAATGGAACCTACTTGGGAGGTGTGAGTGGCGCTACCTTCTTCCCTTGCTCAAGCCTCCTTGGTAAGCACCCAACTCACATTTAACAACAATGATTTTTTCTGCTTTAGAAGACAACTTTTTCTTTTCTATAGCAGCGCTCTTCTGTGCTTTTGTAATTATATTCTTAAGTTTGCTTAATTTGTGGTTTTCCTGCCATATCACAAACAAGAAATCGTAAGAAGAAAATATCAAATAACTTGCAAAAGATGACTGATCGGTCTTTTTTGGCAATTTCTTAGGAGTCACCACAATTGCAGGCGGGAAGTGGAGCAAAGGGGGGCATATGGATGGGCCAAGTGAAGATGCAAAATTTTCAAATGACTTTGAGGTGGTTTACATTGGAAGCAGCTGTTCACTTTTGGTTGTGGATCGTGGGAATCAGGCTATTCGGGAAATTCAACTTCATTTTGATGACTGCGCATACCAATATGAAAGCAGTTTTCCTCTAGGTAGCTTGCTCTTTAGTTAATGTCTCAAAAACATTTTATTACCCTCAGTCAAGTCTGTGGATTCACCTATTCGGATATGACATTTGGATTTTATTTTATATTGCAGGTTTGGCAGTGCTATTTGCAGCAGGGTTCTTTGGATATATGCTCGCTTTGCTGCAACGACGTGTGGGAGTAATGGTCTCTTCACAAGATGTGAGCTTCTTTAACATTTTGGTTTTGCTATCCAAGATTGTGCCATTTTTTTGCAATTATAGAAGCTTAATTTCCTTTTTGTTGAACACATTTACATGCGTAAGATTTGATACGCTATCAACAAATTTTTATCAATTGTCACGAATCTGAAGGTGTGTCACGAATCTCGCGACATTTTGAGCAGAAAACTTTCAAACTAAATTAAAAATAATCCAGAACTCTAATTTCAGCAAATTTATAGTCAAGCAAATTTATAGTCAAACTTTCAAACGACGTGTGGGAGTAATGGTCTCTTCACAAGATGTGAGTTTTTTTAACATTTTGATTTTGCTATCCAAGATTGTGCCTTTCATAAAGACATTTTTTTGCAATTATAGAAGGTTAATTTCCTTTTTGTTGAGCACATTTAAATGGGTAAGATTTGATACGCTATCAAAATTTTTTTATCAATTGTCACGAATCTGGAGGCGTGTCACGAATCTCGCGACATTTTGAGCAAAAAACTTTCAAACTAAATTAAAAATAATCGAGAACTCTAATTTTAGCAAATTTATAGTCAAACTTTCAAACGACGTGTGGGAGTAATGGTCTCTTCACAAGATGTGAGTTTTTTTAACATTTTGATTTTGCTATCCAAGATTGTGCCTTTTATAAAGCCATTTTTTTGCAATTATAGAAGGTTAATTTCCTTTTTGTTGAGCACATTTACATAGGTAAGATTTGATATGCTATCAAAAATTTTTTATCAATTGTCACGAATCTGGAGGTTTGTCACGAATCTCGCGACATTTTGAGCAAAAAACTTTCAAACTAAATTAAAAATAATCCATAACTCTAATTTCAACAAACTTATAGTCAAATTAATTGGCTAGACGAGTTGGACCTAATGACACCAAAATTGATTCAATCTGAGTCGAATCAAACACGAAACAAGCTATTAAATCACTTTTGAAGTATTAAGTGGTCAATTGGAGGTTCACATGGACTTCAAATATGACAAACTTATAGTCAAATCAAGCGTCTTGATGAGACAAATCCAACGAACCAAATATCATTCAATTCAGACATCATTAAGGTCCTTAAATGCCTATAAAACATCATCTAATCAAGGGAATCACTCCGGGCAATCCGATGAAGTTGTCTGGATTCCTGCTTTATTTATGAGGGTTGTCATTCCCAGACTTTATAAATAGAGCCCTAATCACTTCATGACAATGAACTTAGAACGAGAGCCGGATTGCGACGAGGATAATCTAAGACTTATTTTGAATTCGAAGATCCGACAAACACTTCTTGCCTCCCTAACTGCTTACCACCGTTGACCACCGCCCGCCAGCCACCGTCAATCCTCATCGGCTGCCCCTTGCTTGTTGCCAATGAAGCACCATGAGAGGTAATGACTTACGTTCTAGAGTAACGAAGTATACAACAGAACAGTGTAGTACCCTGAATACGGTGTAGCGATACACCCCAAATAAGGTGTAACGACACATCTTGAATCCAGTGTAACTGCTATTGTCATTACAACCCTTCGCTCTGTCCTTGGTGGTCCATCGACACTCATCCTCTGTTACGGCTTTTGAGGCTAATCAACGTTATTGCAATTCCCAACTCTGCCTATGTGTTCTATGAACTTTATCACAACCACTACTATGCCTATGTGACTAACTACGACTTACGCAGCTCACATCTCATGTAGCTCCCTACTCCGATTTCTGTAGCTTATGGATGTTATTACAACTCACCACTATGGTTTATAGGACCAACTACGACCTACATGTCTCCCAACTCATGTAACTCTCAACTCTGGGCGTTGTGGCCTATGGATGTTATCATGGCTCACCATTGTGACCTTTGCGACCTTTGCGACCAACGACTTAAGTGGCTTACAACTCATGTAACTCCCAACTCCGGCCTTTGTGGCCTATGAAGGTTATCATAACTCACCACTGCGGTCTCTGTTGCTAACTACGTCCTACATGACTTATCGCTCATACAACTTCAATTCTGGTCTTTATGGCCTACGAACATCATTAGAACGCACCACTACGATCTATATGACCAAATATGACTCACGTGGCTCTCAACTCATACAGCTTCCAACTCCGGTCTTTGGGGCTTACGGACTTTAGCGCCACTCCCTATTACGGATTATGTGGCTGACTACTCTCATTATAGCCCTACGTCAAGGTTTTTGTGGCCAATCGAGGCTGTTAGAGCTCTCCACTAAATCTTTGTGACCAACCAACGCTCATGAAGCTACCAACAACGACCTCTATGGCCAATTACTGCTGTTGCTTCCAAATAAGGCCTCTACGACAAGTTTAGGCTATTAAAACCATCAAGAACTACATATATTGTAGCCGAATTGCATCCATTAAAGACGGACCACTATTGTATTTTTGTAATTCTATCTTCTCTATTTTAGGAGAAGAGTAGATTTATGTACTAACAATTACATATTAGATTACTCCGACTGGGTCAAGTCTTGTAGTTTTTTCCATCTTTAGGATTTTCCATGTAAAAATCATGATATCTCCCTTTGTTACTCCTCTATTACCTGTATGTGTGCTAGATTCTAGTGCAGCGCTAAAACAATAATTTATTACTCTACCGTTACGAATCTTCCAACACGCAGCAAAATTACTCCAAATTTATGCTCTAGTACGCCTAGTGGCGGACCAAATTTAGGAAGAGGGGTGGTGGATATTTAAGTTTAAAATTTTTCTTTAAGTTTTCTTTAAAATTATTATAAATATGATTATTTAATTTATAATACACTTAATATTGAATTATTATTAAGTATTTTAAGTTTAAGTTATGGCGTGGGGAATTTTTAATATATTATTTAATATTAAAGAGTTTTTTAAAAGCAAGGAGTGACAAGTGCCTACCCCAGCCAGTAGCCACCCCCTGGTTCCAGCACTGAGTACGACCAATCTCGCGAAGTATTGTTTTTGCCAAGCTCACTAGTCATATGATTGCTGCCCATCATTTGCTGTCAACAGGCTAATTATCAAGAACTCTCACAGACTCCTGCTTCTATAAAAACAAGCATCCCTCAATCGCAGAAGTCAAATTGGGAAACTGGAAGACCACTGCTGGTCTCGACTGAGAATGATTCAAAGAAGCCAGATGATGAAGAAGGCTTCTTAACCTCCATCGTAAAGCTTCTACATGGTGCCAAATCATCCATGGCGGAACTACTAGGAGCATTCTTCAGTAGAAAAACTCAGGACAGCCATCACCATGCAGCTTATCGTCAGCAAAATCTGTCGAACTCATGGCCTGTACAGGATAGCTTTACCATCCCCCAGGAAGACGGGCCTCCTCCCATTGACACGAAGACACCGACGCCTCGTAAAACCTACGCCTTCATGTCGAAAAACCAGGCGAAGATCCACCATCTTCGTCAGGGACAGGCTTACTTCAACCACTGGGATGGGAAGATGCAGCAACACCAACCACAGAATCAGCAGCAGCTGCACCAACATCAGCAGTATTCCTCAGGCCCACAAACTTATTATGAGCCGAGGTGCGACGCGACGAATGAGATTGTATTTGGAGCGGTGGCAGAACTCGAAGGCAGTTGGAGTACAGAAGAGATTAAAGCAATGCATTATGGGGACGAGCTCAGAGGTCTATATGGCCTGCGCTCAAGGGTGGGTTGCAGTACTTACTGTAATGACTACTGAGTTCTGGCTCTTGTTTTAAATGTCACGTTTCCTTAAGAAGTTAACAGTCCCTTTAAGATTTTTCTTATTTCTTCTGCTTATAGAAGTTAAGAGCATGATGATTGTAAAAAAAATACTCGTTTTCTGTTTTTATTGATTCTAGTTTCATTATCAAACTTCAAAAAATAGTTTAGGAAGGCAAGCATGAAGAATCTCTTTAAAAAAAGAGATTAAATTCACCCATAATTAGAAGAAAAACAAATTATAAGTTGGGTGTATGAGAGAGATGTTAGTTTTTGTCAAGAGCATAATGAATATGACACCAACATAAGTAATTTATATCCATCACCTATAGGGTATAAGTGAGAGGAAATGTAGGGTCCGTTTGCAGCATCTTATTTGGTGCGGTGGCGTTTTGAAAACGCATCTGGCCTGTTTGGGTAAACTGCGTTTTGACAGCTTATGCATTTTTAAAACGCTAAAAATAACGTTTTCACATCACACCTATCTAGATGCGGTGATAACTTTCTGGCAGTGACCTGACTTTTTTTAAAAAATAAAAATTTGTAATAGTCACCGCACCTAGTTTATCAGCAGATTATTTTTAATCAGTTTATCAACAAATTATTCAATAAGCCGCAGCTGACCCAAACAGACCCGTAATTAGAATTAATAATCGCGTCTTTGAGTTCTATTTAGAGAGATATAGCGAAGCATATTGAAGGGTGAAACTGCATTATTTCTAGCGCGGGCAATTGTCCTCTCGTTATTTATATTCTTTATAAATAGTTTTTTTTTTTTTTTTTAGCTTGTCATGAAAAAAAAATATTTTTGAGATTTTCTATTAATTATTGTATAATCAATCCTTTTATGATTGTTAAATTTTTCTAAGCCTGCTTCTATGGCAATTATTTATAAATTAAAGTTTTAAGATCAATCAATATCTACTAAAATTAGAATTAATATAATTTGATTTGTTGTTTTTGAGATCATTGCTTTGGTTATAAAAATTACTAAAATTAAACAAAAGCGTTCACTTCACAATAATAATAATAATAATTAAAAAAAAAACTGCATGCAATTAATTTTAATGTAGATGAAAAAAAGTTTATTATTATGAATAGATGTATAATTTCTTTTGTATTTACATATCCACTGAACTTTGATTTTTACAATTATACCACTTTCCTTTCATAAATTTAGGCATGATTATGCATGTTTTACTTTTAAAGAAGTTAGGATCCATTTGGCATCACATTTATTTTATCTTTGATTTTACATTTATTTTTTGAAAATATATTTTAATTCTAATAAATTAAGAGCATTTTTTATGCAATTTGTCCAAGTCTTTTTAGTTCAATTTCTTCCTTTCTTTACGTAATTTTAATCTAAAACATCTACATTCCTAATCAGATCATCGGATGGTAGACGTTTAATGTGACCAAACCATCTAATGTGAGGCTCTAATTTTTTTTCGCCATTGGAGTTGTACCAACCCTATCACTGATTTATTCATTTCGCATTTTTGTCTCTAAGTGTAAAGCCACTCTTCCACCTAAGCATTCTCATCGAGGCAACACATAGCTTAGTTTTATACTCTCTTTTGAAGACCAACATTCAACTCCATAGGGCATGACAGGTCTCACCACCATCTTATATGCAGTACTTTTCTATCACACAATAGGCCCGAAGCATTCCTCCAGTTCAACCAACCAACTTGAATTTTATTATATATATATATATATATATATATAAATTGATCTGTGCTAGAAAATTCGCGGCGGTAGAGTGATGAATTATCGTCTTAGCGTTGCATTAGAATTCAACACACACTCAGATGAAAGAGAAAAAAACCTGTGATGACACAAGAAGTTTTTACGTGAAAAAACCCGTAAAGGGAAAAATCCACGGGGCTTAGCCCAGTTATAAAAATCTACTATAAGTTGATAATTACAAATGACCCTTGTCCCACAGATGGGAAATTATTACTAGATTTTCCAAATTACAACGTCGACTGACGACTTCTGGTCAGCGGTGATCGATGGTGCTCGACAAAGGTCGGTGTTGGTCGCTAACGATCGGTGGTGGTTGACAGCGATCGACGATGACAGGAATGATGTTGGACTTGAGCTCCTTCTCCTCAAGTTCTCTCTCCAACCTCCCCACTCATGTGAGTGGTAGGGCTTTATTTATAGTGTTATGGGTGCAATTAATGCAAAAATATGAATCATTTTGATCAAACGGTTCGGAGAGCTTCATTCGATCAGATGACGTTTGATGGACATTTGAGTGTCTTAAATATGTCGGAGTTGAGCAATCATTGGCTCGTTGGATTCCTTTTGTTGAGAGGCTCGGTGCGACTATGAACTCGTTGAATTCGACATTTGTTTAATTATTCAAATGTGTCCAAAAATCTTTCAATAATGATTTAATCACTTGATCTGGGCATGATTTGACTCGGATTTAACTAACTTTTATACCATTAGGCCCGTCTCATCGAGTCAGTCAGTTTGACTATAAGTTTGCTGAAATCGGAGCTTTGGAAATCGGAGCTTAAATCGGAGCTTTGGATGACTTTTAATTGAAGTTTGAATGTTTCTTACTCAGAATGTTGCATCAAGATTCGTGTCATGCCTCGAGATTCGTGATTTATGATGAAAATTTATTGACGGCGTATTAGTTTCCCCCTTATTTTCGAACGAGTCTAATTTAATCGTCTGAAAATATCCAAATTTAGAGCTTTTTCAATTATCAATCTACCTTAGTTTGTTGGGTATTTTTGTTCTGTTCGAAAAGGTCATGAGTTCGAATCTTGGGCAAATAATTTTTTTTTTGGTGTTTCAGAAAACAAGAAATTAAAGGAAAAACCGAAAATTAAATAGACAAAGCAGTTTATCTGTGTGTGTGTGTGTATATATATGTGGTAGAAATTGTTTATCTATTTATTTATATTTTTAATGGGCAATTTTTTTTAAAATAAAGAGCAGTATTTTTTTTTTATTGAAATTTTTTTTTTAATGAATTAGCAATTTTTTTTTAATGAAGAGCTGTTTTTTTTTAATGACTCTGATTAATTTTATCATAAAGATAAAGGCTTTTCAGCTTATAAATAGGCCAATGAGATGAGAAAAATAGTAGAGTCCCTATCCTTGCCTAGCAGGTGATTCGAGATTTACCAAAAGAAGAAAGTAGTCCCCGTTCTGCGTAGCAGGCAAGCAACGAGATCTTCTTTCTCGTTGTTGTGAAATATTGTGGCGAAGAGTTGCGACGAAACATTTTGGTTGACCGTTGCGGTATGGCGTTGCGGCGACGCGACTCGTTGCGGTGAAGTGTTGCGGCGGAGCGATGAGGCGGGGCGTGGCAGCGAAGCGTGGCAGGAAGTGTGACGGCGAAAAGTTGCGGCGAAGAGTTGCGGTGGACAGTCGCGGCGACACGACGAGTTGTGGTGAAACGTTGCGTATTCCAAAGGAGATTCTCGTGCTGCTCTTGCACGTTCTGAAGGTGATGAAGACATGATGTATTTTTCTCACCTCGCCATGAAGGGGATTTTCATGCTTATGTGGTGACGATATCTGGAGACCCCTTAACGTTTATCAGAAGTACTGAAATTTTAGGAAGGCGATGCTGACTCTAATTGAAGATGAACTGATTTGTTGCAGCTCTCATATACGTATATGTTGGTATTTGTAGCCTTTTTAATCATCTGATGTGACAATTGCAGATAATAATAATGTATTTGTTTGTTGCTTCAACGGTTGTTGTGGCTTCTTAATTGTGCAAAATTCTTCTGAGGCTCGTAGCCTTCTGAGGAATTTTATGCACTTATGTCTTCTGAGACTTGTAGCCTTCGGAGACCTTTAATGTAACTGTCTCTTCTGAGGTTTGTAGCCTTCTGAGGACTTTGATGTACCTGAGCCTCAAAGGTCTTTGATGTACCTATGTCATCTGAGGCTTGTAGCCTTCTGAGGTCTTTGAGTAGAGACCTTGTCAACCACTTGCCTCATGGAGTCATGTCCGCTACTAGCTTCCCATTGAAACTTGCCTCATGGAGAGCTTCCCATTGAAACTTGCCTCATGGAGTCTAGTAAGGACCCTGTCCACTACTACCTTCCCATTGAGACTTGCCTCTTGGGCTCGTCTTCTAGGGGCATGGTAGCTTCTCATTGAGTCTTGCCGCTTTGGCTTAATTTTTAGGAGTACCGTATCTTCTCATCGAGTCTTGCCTCTTGGGCTTGACTTTTAGGGGCATGGTAACTTCTCATCCACAAAGGGGTTCTCATTCAATAAATCCAATGATTCTCTTATGGTTCCCCTCACATTGTTCATGTAAGTAGCGACCCATGTGACATTGGCGTATTAGACATTCAATGTCTTCCTTTAATTGAAAGCATATTTCTGTTAAATGTCATTTTGCTCGGTGGAAATGACAATATTGAGATTGGTCTTCATCATCTGAATTTCTTAATGGCTTTGGCCACTTCAGAGTTTCTTCATCCTTGATTGCTATTAAGATGTTAACACGTGACGTGTTGAATAGTGTGTATTCTTTTTCTGATCGTTGTTCACGATTCCCCTGTGGTCCAAACTATTTTCGCTGCGAGATTTGATTGGTATCCTCAACGTTATTCTTGCGCTTGCCCCCCAATCACTCAAATTATTCCTTGTGAGCAATGATGGTCTCATATGCAGAGATTTGTGCCTCAACACGGTGAACAAGGTCAACATAAGAACGAACTGTCTCCCGCATCAATGATGAGTAGAAGGGTCCTGGGCGAAGCCCCCTAAGGAAGACTCCTCTTAGCAACTCCGGATCTACTCCCGGAATCTGTCGGGCTTCAGTAGAAAACCTGCGAAAGTAATCCTTCAGTGATTCTCTTTCGCTTTGACTAATTCCTGAGGGATGGGATGAATCTTTTATAATCTGTCGGTTTGTGACAAACTGTTCCACAAACAGTCTGGCAAGCTCATTAAAGTTGTTTGCAGTGCCCCCTGACAGGAGTAGAACCAGGTTCGAGCTTTTCCTTTAAGAGTAGGCGGGAAAACCTGACACATAAGTGCATCAGAGGCACGCTGAATGTGCATGATAGTTTGATAATGATAAATATGTTCGTAGGGGTCTGTTATCCCTTCATACATG